ATGAGGTTTTGTTATGCTTTAAGAAACTTGTTATATGATTTATGAGGTTGATCATATGCTCTAGGGAACTCGTTGTTTCACTTTAGTAATGTGTGGTATAGTTTAAGAAATTTGTCGTCTGTTTTGATGAACTTGTGGTGTGTTTTATGAGGATTTGGGTATGCTTAAGGGAATTTGTGGTCTGGTTTGATAAACTTGTGGTATGCTTTATGAAACTTGTGATCTGCTTTAAGAAACTTATGTTATGCTTCAAGAAACTTGTGATGTGATTTATAACTTTTTTATATACGGTAATGTTAGTATCATGCTATTACTAGGACTCTAACTTTGGTGATTTAAGACGGGGGCAAAATTATTAGTGTACTCGTTTATTGGTTAACGCATGAGAACCCAAATTACTCTGGCTTCCATTATTCTTTGCTTTTCGAGTATTTTGTTTCTTCTTTGAGCTTGTGTTGGCAAATTTCTTCGAGTTATTATTCTATCAAGAATCCAAAATCCTGACTCGTAACCAAGGATTGAAATACCGTATCGGAAAAGTTAGTGTTAGGGTATTTTAAGTTAAAATCGTGGTTCAACCGTTTAATACCGCTAAATATCACCGGTACGATACAGTATTTTCTGGTCTAACCGCTGGTACGGTATTTCAATCATTGCTCGTAACAGAGTGAAGTGGATATTACCATCATTGCAACGCTATTAAGCTACTTCCTTTCTGAGTTTTGAGACACATTTTGACCATTAATATGGCAGGAACATAAGAGTTCAATGGAAATCCCAGAAAATGTTCCAAAGAGAATCTTGATTTGCCTTCTCCCTACCAAAACCACTAACTTCTCCTTTCATTATCGATCACAGAAAAAGTATCAGACATCCTTAGGTTTCTCAAAGGCTGTGAAAGCTAGGCATCTCTCTCTATATATCTATGCAGATTTGGGAAGTTTGTTCGTTACATTTTCATAAAGCTGGCTGGCCACATTACTATATTCTCCCCCCACCCCACCCAGAAATAAGATGAACTATGTAAGCTAATGAAGACCAGCTTTTCGTTAAAGCTACTATAGCTCATGGCTAGAAACTTCAGTGATGGACTTTTTCCTTGTTAATTCAAAAGCTCGATCACTCCCAGCTGCTTTGTGTGTGCGACTGCAACTTTTCTTGCTCTAACTGGCAAAAAGATTCTTATGTGTTCACAATACTGTCTATCATCGTATTTAGAATGGTCATCATTCATGACTATGATTCGGTGATCGATTCCTATGCTAGTTGCATGCGTTTTTAATGAATAGTTTGATATTTTAATTTGGTATGAAAGAAAATTTATTGATTTTAGTTTGCCGGTCTAGTGATTTTCACTCACCGGTATTACTATTACCTATGTGTAGTGATGTAGCCAGTATTTCATGTAAAATGTTCGTTTTGGAAAAATAAAATATCATGACATGTTAATTATTAACAATAATCGATGATATGTTTTCATACTAGGAAAAAACATGTAATATATACATTCATCCTCAAATGTACACTCAGTTGGCTTCTTTGTGACTATTATTGTCCTAGACAGCTAGCTTGGTAGTTCTCTTTTAATACAGATAATTCATGAAGATAAAAGGTAGCAAGTTTCATATGGAGAAATTCATACTTTGTGGAAACAGTGGAGATACTTGATTTTGCAAATTAGTTGTGTCTGCTGATAAAATTGTGACTAATTCAAGGTCTATTAATTTTTTTTATAAGAGTGATATACATTTACTTTTTTTTGGTTATGTACTACTTAAAAAGTTGAAACTTGAGACATCCAGATTCAAGGCAAGTAATATATCCGGTACAAATCGGGAACCCACCTTGTGGCTCTGCCACTAATGTTTGCACCCTAAGTGAACTGGAAGTTCATAAATCAAAACTCTCTCTCTCCATTAGAATATATAATTTGCTAAGCAGCATATATTTTTAGAAATTTTCTTCAAATTGAAGTATGAAGGTTACAAATACCTAAAATTCGTTGGGTTTGAAACATTCACGCACAAAATGATGGTGCATTCATGGAACACCAGTTTGAAAACGGAGTGCGCGCATACCGTACAAGGATGTTGGGTGGTCATAGTGGAAAGTTGTTGGTCCTTGTTAGTTAGTGACACCCAATTTGTCAAGCAATCCACTCACCCATATGATCTAGTAACAATCGTCTTCACTGCATGATGCTTGACCTTTGTGGAAGAATGAGCTAGCCCTAATGTTTTGTTTCTTGGTGCAGGTGCAAGAGCCACTTTGGTAACTAATAGTGAGGGAAGACAATGGGCGGGTTTTGTGTGGGTTTTTCTAAACTACGATCATAACGAACATTTATATTTGATCCATACTTATATGGAGAAAGGTAATTTATAACTTTATCCTCATATCCGTAGATAGTCTGGGTAGTACCTGGTTGACCCGTACATCCAATACTATTATACATATAATTAATATAGTAAAGATAACTAAACAAATATATTTTTAATTATAAATCAACAAAGATATAATCGTTGTTAATTCAAGTTCAATGCATTCGACCTATAACATCTATTAGTTCATAAGAGGATCAATGTTTTCCACATCCAGTGATCAAATTTTTTTTATGCATGTTATATTGTAGTAAGTAGCTTGATGTATTTTATGGTCTTCACTCAATATAATTTTGCACATGTTGTTAGTGTTGTAAACAGGTTCATGGTGCAACTTGGGAAAGAACATTGACAAGCTTTAAAGAGGATTTTCCAGTTCTTAAAGGTACATCTAATTTGGGGATCATTTTTGGCGAAGTGATACAGAGGGCTTAATGGTTGGTTATTCAGATTCTAATTATTCTGTGGATGTTGGCACACAGAGACTTGTGACCAGTTATGTATTCACTCTTCGAGATTCTGTTTTTAGTTGGAAGGCAACTTTGTCGTCTATAGTTACTTTGTCTACTACTAAAGCAGAGTACATGGTGTTAACAAAGGAACCTGATGAGGAATATATGGTTGAAGGGGCTAGTTGGTACTTTGGGTTTACATCATGATCATGTTGGAGTTTATTATGACATTCCGATTGCAATATGCTTGGCTAAGGATCAAGTTAATTATTAGAGAACCAAACACATAGACGTGAGGTATTACTTCTCGAGAACAAAAAAGATGATTAGGTGGAAGGAAGTGGACACTGTTGATATATATATATATATATGTTCACGGAAGTAGTTTCCTCATGACAAATTTTCACACTGCTTGAACTTGCTAAATATTCCGAGTTGTTGATACCCTTAGAGCTATGCCGAGGAAAGAGAGAGAGAGACTAAGTAAATCTGGTATATTTGATGGAGAATTTAAGTCAAGATAGAAATTAATTGAAGACAGATTGATTACCTGCTTGTGAATTAGCTAGTTGATTTCCCATTCATTACAACAATCCCAAGGTCACTCATTCCATAATATCAAACCGGGAGAAACACATAATAATCATGCTTTGAATTTAAATATGTGGATAGCTTGGTGGCAGGGCAAACTTCCACTTTCTGTCACCACCGCCATTATCTCTGTGTCGCCCAACAGTTTGGTGCAGTGAATTGCATTGCATGCCCCCCTCCCCTCTCACTCCTCTCCTCTGCACCCTTTGTCTCCTAATGTCCTCATCCCTCTCTCTCTCTCTCTCTGTAATCCATTTCCTTGGGATTGTCCTTGTAAGTCAAACTTCGTCGTGAGATATGCATACAAATACAATGCACCTCTTCCCATATATTAATACTATTAGAGCCGGCAATCGGTCGGTTTCGGTTTAACCGAGACCTGACCAGAAGCTACCGTCCACCGACCGACCTCAGAGCCTCGGTTAGCCGCAAACCGACCAGGCGGTTTTCGGTTCAGGCGCGGTTTAACCGGGGCAACCGACAGATTGATGTTCGGTTAAATTGCAAACGAAAGAAAAAGAGGAAGACCCGATTTTGGTCTCCCTCTCCATCTTTTCTCGGCCCTTCTCTCTTCTTTCTACCCAGCAGACGAACCCAATCGAAGTTCGAAACCATTCTCCTCTCCTCTAGCCCGTCAGAAATCGAACAATAGCACGAAGAAAAACCTTGTTTTCTCTTGCCTCTACATTCGTTTTCACTTGGAACGATGGGGAAAACAGAGAGGGCGCACCGCCGACTACATGCACCTTTGGCGGCGATGCAAACGACGACAAGATTCATTTTAAGGTTCGTTTCCCCTCTCTCTCTTTTATTTGTCCTATTTTCATATATGAATTTAAGGTTTTCGAAGTTCTAATCCCTATTTCCTCCTATTTTCAGAAAACCCGACTTGGTGCTGAGAGGAGCGCCGACAGTGGTGAGAAGAATTTTACATGCATGCTCGTTTTGTTGACTGGCGGCGATTGGAGGGGCGATTGGAGGCGCGGCGATGGCGGACTGTTGACTGGCGCGGCAAATCGGTGATGGCGGACTGTTGTCTGGCGGCGATTGGAATTTGGAGGGGCGATTGAAGGGAGGCGGCGACCGGCGAGCCTATTGGAGGGAGGCGGCAACCGGCCAGGCTGTGGGAGTGGAGACTGTGCGCCGAGACACGAGAGGTCTGAGGGAGGATGGAGGCTGTGCGACGAGAGGGAGTGGGAGGCTGTGTGACGACGAGAGGGTCTCTAGGGTTGGGGATGGGTCGTCTTTCAGCTAGGCAAAACGGCGTCGTAGGGTCGGTCGGTTAGGGACGGTTAGCCGGTTAACCGGCGTCGGTTTATAGGCTAACCGCGACACCAATAACCAATTCCGACCACCGACCGATGCGTGTTATTTTCGGTTTCCGGTTAGCCGCTAACCGACGGTTAATGGTTAGACCGACCGGTTAGCCGCTAACCGGCAACCGAAATGACAGCCCTAAATACTATTACTACATCTAACATCTTCCTCCTCCAATCTTGTCGTCTTCCCTTCCTCTACTTTTTTTATTATAAATAAATGTTTTTCTTTGCGGAGTCAATTACTTAAACCTTCCCTTCACGTTACGCGCGCGCACATCGAAGCTCTATATAATAGTACAACACTCCAATCGATCCCTTTGTAGTAAATTAAGTTACTCACTCACTCACTCATCTAAGTAGCAGGCTCGCTACACTACACAGAAAGCATCCATCTAGTTAATTATGGACAACAACAACAACAACAACAATGTCAATAGTAATAGTGAAGAGATCCCATCAGCACCCTCCACCCCAGCCACCCCAGGGACTCCAGGCGCCCCCCTCATCGCCGGCTTCAACCACGGTCATCACAGGCTTGGTCGGAAGCCGGCGTCACTGCTGAGGAACTGCAGCTGCTTCGCCGTCGAGGAATGGGCCATGGAGGAAGGCGTCGCCGGCCGCTTCCCTCCGGCCGTCTCTTGCTCTTTCTCCTTCCCCCGCCCTCCGCCCGTTTCCCTCGCCCGCAAGGTACGTACCGTACGCTGCGGCTGCTGCGTGCCTAATAATTTCTTCTCACCACCTTCTGCTTCTTGCTATATACATAAATGTGGCTTTACTTAATTATCTGGCCGGGACAGGTGGGAGCTGAATTCATAGGAACCCTGATCCTGATCTTCGCCGGGACCGCGGCGGCGATCGTGAACGAGAAAACGCAAGGGTCGGAGTCGCTGCTGGGGCTGGCGGGTTCGTCGGGACTCGCGGTGATGATCGTGATATTGTCGACGGGACACATCTCCGGGGCCCACCTCAACCCGGCGGTCACCATTGCCTTCGCTGCCCTCAAACACTTCCCCTGGAAACACGTACGCACGAACGAGCGCGCGCGCGTGGGTTTGCCTTTCATTAGGGAAATGGCTGTGATTTAAAAAAAAATTAATTACTGGATTAGTAAGTAAATTTATTTATTAATGCGATTTGCGTGGCAGGTGCCGGTGTACATTGGAGCGCAAGTGGCGGCGTCGGTGGTTGCCGGGTACGGGCTGAAGGCGGTGTTTCAGCCGGTGATGGGAGGAGGGGTGACGGTGCCGGCGGCCTCCGTGGGCTACGCACAAGCTTTCGCGTTGGAGTTCATCATCAGCTTCAACCTCATGTTTGTCGTCACCGCCGTCGCCACCGACACCCGAGCTGTAAGTAATTGTTCCACGTGAAGTTTCGCATTCATTTTATTACCCCATTTACGGGCGCCAACTGCTTCTCGAATCCCTATGCATGCATGATTACCATGTAATAATATAATAATAAAGAAGATGAATTTATTTCAAAATTAAAAAGTGAAAATATCTTTTTTTGTGACATAAACTTAGGCTAGACAGCGTTTTTCTTTATAATTTAGGAATCTTCCCGATGCAGAAGGGGAGTAAAGGCCAAAAGGGTTGGTTGGAACTTTGGCAGAGTAAATCAAAACCCAAGTGGGATTTGTTGAGAATAAATAGTTAGTGATGCACAAACACAAGCCCCTTGTTGATTCTCCAACTAGATCACCGGTAATACTTAATTATTCATCTTCATCCAAAGAAAAAGCTTTGTTGGTAAAAAGAAACCTATTGTTGATTCATTATCAACTGGGATTCTGAAATTTCCTGCCAATCATGCATGATCTACTAATGAGTTATGCAAAATATCAGATTTAATTAAATTGTGATGTAAGAAAATAACTTATCTTAGAAAATCTGTGTTACGCAAATTAATGAAATGGGAAACAGTATAATTAATAGTAAATAAATCTGTCGTGCAAACAAATATTACAGAAGACTTTAATAATATGTTTAACTGCACAAAACAAAATTTATGGTAAAATCGAATAGGGGATAAAATAAACTGTGAACAGTACCCACTATGGGGGAAAAAAATGATGCTACCTTTATCTTTAGTAAGTAACAGTGATGTTTTTTTAATATAATTATTATTCCAACACAAAAAGAAATAAAAAAAAAAAAAAAAAACCGAAGGTGGCCAGGCCATCGCCTAACTGGGCATTCGTGGAGTGAACAGCCAGTTGGGCTTCGCGTGACTTGATTGAGTGGGCTTATCTGTTTGAGTCAGCTGGGCCCATTCAAACTAATAACTGAAACCTTGTGCAGGTAGGGGAGCTAGCCGGAGTTGCAGTAGGGGCTACTGTAATGCTCAACATTCTCATTGCTGGGTGAGTAGTGTGTCTCTTCTCTTGTCATCTAAGTGTCTAACCTTTCTCTCAAGTTTCTACTCCGCCAGTAAATCTAGTAAAACTATCAGTTAACTCTAAAACAACAAATCAACACCTTAAAGTATGATCAAGCCCAATAAGAAAGAGATCCCAAGTCATACTAAATACGGCTTGCAGTTCCATTCCACATAGCTCAGAAGATGCCCTCTCTTCTTCTTTTTTCCTGGGATGCAGGAACACAACCGGTGGTTCGATGAATCCGGTGAGAACTTTGGGGCCTGCGGTAGCTGTGAACAACTACAAAGCGATATGGATCTACCTCACTGCCCCCATACTCGGGGCACTATGTGGAGCCGGGACTTACGTAGCTGTTAAGCTTCCTGATCAGGAGGAGGATGGAGATACTCATGAGAAGCCAGCAACATCAAGGAGCTTCAGGAGGTGATACCGACGAATTGGTTGATGATCAGTGGTATTATCCAAACGAAAAAATAAACCAGCATCTGAAAATACAAAGAGAGTGTAATTCATGTACTTCTTCTTGAGTTTAACTGGCAATAATGCATAGATAGGCTAAGGAGATGCTGCAATAGTTGTTCCCTGTTTGTACAATGAATAATTCTTTATGCATTGTGTATAGTTATGTTGGACGAAGATCCACCGGCGAATTCGATGTTTCTGCATTCAATAGCCTAGACAGACAGCAAATTCAGACCTATTGCAAGTCTTCAATCACCTCTTTAACAAACACAAGCAAGCACAAGTGGTGCAGCAAATACTAAACCTCAATATGTATCTTTAGGAATTCATCTGACACTTCACAAACTGCTTCAGAATCACAGAACGGGATCAGCCATTTAGCAAAAATAACCAAGCAGAGTTTCTGCTATGAGCACTACATTTGACAGCAGGTAACTTGACAATCATATTCAACAGAAGAATCAGAGAGCTAACCCCGGGAAAACACCTCTACAAAGTTGGGCCAGAATCACTGAAGACTCACTCACCTCCCCTGTTACGGGAGATTGTTCGAAAAAGGTGAAAGATTGATTACACCAAAGGATTTAGCTGCTGATAGTGTCAAATGCAGTTCATTGCTTGCTTCATTCGAACTCCTAAAACAATTGCTATGGAAATTGTGTTTGACCAAACAAGAAACCCTATCCTATATCAGCTCCATGATCTGAATACTCACTAGTACAGTGGGAACTGAGAGAGAACTGACCTTACCGTATCATCTTGCTGCTGCAATTTCACTGCTCAAGATCCAGAACTCAGAACTCCCATTTTCTGTTGAAAACAAAAAAAAAGGCAGAAACTTTCTCCTCCACACTACAAAGTACAAACTACACTCCAGCAACTAATTGCTTCTGATTCTGGAGAACCGAGCGCCACATCTCTCAAGCTGGGAGAAGTCGGGACTAAACAGGGAGAGCTCGCCGGGTCGAACCCGAAGGGGGATCTGATCCTACTGAGCTTCTGCAGATCGAGAGAGCGAAGGCGGCGACTAACACGCCAATTAGATCGGCAACAGCGTCCTTGGCGGAGGCACCGGCGGAAGGGAAGATTCCGAGGTGGTCGGCAGCCTCTTTGGCGGCGCCAGCCAGGAGGGAAAGGATGGAACCGACCCAAATCGAGTGGCGGCGCAGAAACGAGTAGGGAGTTACGGAGGCGAGTTTGGAGAAGAAGAGGGTGAGGAATAGACAGAAGAGGAAATGGTAGAGTTTGTCCCTGGCGAGCCAAGGATCTTCATCGGACATTGACTGACGGACTCACTCGGCTCCTGTCTATCACTTGCTAGCTACTGCCTCCTGGCCTCCGGCGAGTGGGTCGTTGGTTCAATGGGAACAGGGGAGGCTTGGCTCTTTGGCTGTTGAGACGATTTTGTTCGGTGACCGATGGGTAAATAACAGCCGGTAACGATTTAAGGGGTCGTTTGCTTGAGGGTTTTGGTCATGGAAATATATCCATTATGGACTTGAACCGAAATCCATCGTTTGTCTTAGGAAATTAGGGAGATGGAATTTGTGGGGCCTACCTCTTTTGGGGTTCGAAATCCATGGACCCCACGGACTTGGAAGTTCCACCTCTTGAGGTGGGATTTGAGTGATGGATTAAAATCCATGATGGTAAATTACCTTTCTACCCTTAATTATTTCTTTAATTACAAATTTGTCCTACTTTAATTCAATGGTCATGCAACTGTAAACTTTTATAATTTCGTATTTTATAAATATGAGAATTTATCATTTCATTTTGTAATATCGTATTTTATTTAAATATGAATGTATATGTGATTTGTTAGATTCACCTAGAAACACTTTATGCTTATCTTGTACATTATTATTTGATTGATTGTCGGATTCCACATCGATGAGTTAGCAAGAAGATGATGAGTTGTAGCAATAAAGCGAGCAATTGGATGCAATTGATACATAATATTGCGTACATTATTAGATGAATTGTTAATTAGTGCCAAATTGTAATACATTTCTATATTTATAGTTGAATTATTAATCCACATAGTGGTAAAGAGTTTAAAATTTCTTTCTATGTTTTGGATTAGTTTTAAATGAAAGATTTGGATTAGAATATCGAAATATAATTAAATAAGGGTAACTAGGTAATTTGTATTTAATATCCACAAATCTAATCAAACAAAGTCCATAATCAAATCCATCAAGCAAACAATAGATTTGTTCAAATCCATAATGCCACCAAATTCATCATATATCCATGGTTTTCCAAAACCCTCATTTTTCAAATCCATGAAGCAAACGACCCGTAAATGTAGTTGCAAGCTGACCACTTAATTTTGGTAATTGCTCATGGTGCTCCTCAACTTCTGTTCTGACTGAGTTTATTCATCATGGTCTTTAAGATCATTTCTGAAACTTTGCACCACAGGCTTGCTTGCTAAACCAAAAATGTACCAAATGCTTGTAGTTTGCGGTTAACTGCAAATTGAAAAAAGACAAATTTTATTGGGCACCATTTGGAAATACGTCATGTTTTGCGGTTTACGATTTAACCGCACCGAATTGGTTAAGCCTCCAACCTACTGTATAACTGACACGTCTCTACCGTCACACTAAAAAGTGGCCAAGTGTAACCACCTACTAATGCGTAGTATAGCGGGTTTAGTTCTAAATGTCAACCCGGGTCCTAGGTGTGATGACTACTCCGTGAAAATCTTATTATTTAGCGGTTCAAGTGTAGTGAAGGTCTAACTAAACTAGCAAGCAAAAGCAGTGAAAGTTGTGTTCAAAGTTGAGAGAGGTCACCCAGATATGGTTCCCCCTAGACTGCAGTTAAGCCAGGTTGTAATTCACCAAGTTCAAGTTCAATGATAGTTATACCAAGGGAGGTTCTTAAATAGTCTGTAGTCTCGACTAAAGGTCTCCAGACCCTCTCAATCTGAGTCCCCAGCGGGCGGCTAACCTCCACCGGAGTAAACAGATTGAGGCCCTTACGAACCAAACCTCCTCTACCGGAGTAAATCCGGTACAGAATAGTGAATTGACTCCTCGACTAAATTCGTCAATTCACTACCTTCAATCAAGGGTGCTCTATCAACCTAGGCATATATTCTCTTTCTAGGTCAAAGCAGAAATAACAGGAATTTGATCAGGATTCATGTCATTCAAGAAATCAAACCTCAATTGAATATAATCAATATCAATGAATTCGTACTTGGGTTCATACAATCAGACCTAACATACAAATCTAGGGTTCTTCATACCCAGGTGAGTGAGAGAATTTAATCCACAGAGAGAGAAGGGAAATCTAGCTCATATGCGGAAAACATGTTGTGAAGAATGAAATTCTGCTTCTGGCAATCAATCGGCACTTCTCCAAGTTTAAGCCGAGCTCCAATGGTGATGAAGATCGATCTAGGGCGCATGGAGATTCTGGTTCGTCACTCTCTCTCTCTAGGTATCTGCTTTCTTTCTCTAAAACTCGGAACCTCTCAAAAATTGGTCTTCTTTCCCTTAAAAAGCAGCAGATCGCAATCCCCGGCCATAATACCCGGTCGGGTATTTCAGGTGCCCGTCCGGGGATTTCGAAATGCTGTGCAGCAGCTACGGGGTTAATACCCGATCGAGGTCCAGCATACCCGATCGGGTATTTTAGCTCACTGGCCGGGACCCCTTCTGCCATTTTGGCGTCCCAAATGTCTTTACACGGTCGGGTATTTCCAGTGCCGACCGGGTATTTTTGTTCTCCATTCGCCCTTCTTGCATTTTACCCGGTCGGGTATTTTAACTCCTGACCAAGTATTTTCTTCTGTCAGCGCCCCTTCACTCTAGCGTCCTCCTTTTTTACCCAAAACTCGTTTCCACGCCTCCATATCAACGCCAAGTCCTAAAATATGACATAAACGCACAACCTAGCGTGAAATCGGTTTAAAACACGAGAATCGACTCTCAAATGGCTCAAGAACACATGGCCGACCCGACTCGACCCATCCATTGATAAAGTGCAATTATTAGTCCAAACTCCTTTTTTCCTGGATCTGAGGAAACACGAATGAAGGAAAACTAGAAAGTCAAAAAAACCGAGACCACTATTGACAGTTCCATTTGCATTCACGTATGTCTCTTAGTTCATAAAAACAAAAAATCAAACCTCGAAGAATCAAAGAATACTGATGATGCCGCACGCCGGAGAAGGAAAGTCTCCAGGCGAGGACGATGCGCTGGCCACAACTTCGCTAATGACGTTACCTGTCGGAGATCCTGCATGTCCTAGAGCTTCTCACCACACCGATGTCTTCCTCTTCACTTGTAATGACTCAATACTTGGAGTACCATTCTATAATTTTGTTGTGCTCACATTGTATAAGAAGGGGAAACCTAGAACACAGGGGAATCAAATAGACTATGAAATAACAATCTTTAGTTTACCATTTAGCTCTTTCTTCTTATTTTCTTCCTTTCCTCCTTTCTTGCTCCTTTTCTTGCTTAGATGGAGGCAATTCCTGTCCAGGGCTATTACAGTGGTATTAGAGCCTCCTCTCTAGCAGCAATGACGATTCAGAACTAGCAAATAATCTCCTTGGAAGAGCATATGATGAACTCGAAGAATGAGCAACAACAACTTGCAGCCAATTAATAGAAGACTAGTGTTGATATTGAGGAGTGAAAGATTTCAGTGCAGCTAATTTTGGAGCGGTTACCCGCCGCCCCACCCAGACCGCCTAGTACCTGCAATGCTCAAATTGTGATCATCCACCTCCACAATGGCATCCCTTCACCAATCACCTTCCCAAATTGGATTTTTCTTTCTTCTCCAGTTCAGATCCTCATTCATGGTTGCGGAAGTGTAATAAGTAGGGGTGGTAATTGATTTTGTGGTTATCAGTTTAATCGACAACCGAAATGATCAAGACGATTATCAGTTTAGCCGATAATCGATAAAGAAAACACAGTTCAGTTATCGGTTAGGGTTATTGTCTTATTGATTAAATTGATAACCGATACATCACTTAGTGGTTAACCAACAAGGAAACTGTTAAGCGACCTCTACTTAAATTAGAACTACGCTTACCAAACAGATCTAAATAACCATGCTCAAACTCGACCCATTTTGAGTTTTGAGGATCAAACGGAACCCAATCTCAATATTTTAACATTGGTCTAAATCTTGACAATAGTCAGCCATATTTTTACCTCATCCTACCAAGACCCACCATAATACCACAACCAAGTCCAACCAGTTCATCATATAATAGCTTTGTGCTCGATCATTGGCCGAGTAATTTAATTATTAATCATTTTTTATGCGAAATAAAAAAAAACTTTCATTAAGCGCCAGCGCCAGCTCTCATCAAGAAAAACCTGATGTGCCGTCAAGCCTTTACAAACGATTGCTATGAAAAAAAAAATCAAAAACCAGTTACTATAAGCTAACAATCTTTCCTAGTTCTAACCGAAGGGCATGATCTCAAGATACTCGATAAAGAACATCTTCATTCACAAGCTGCACTAACTCCCCGGGGTTCTTGATTGGTTTCGTCCCATACATCATGGTACATCGCTCTCACCAAACATGGCTAAGAGCGGCACTCCATATCAACCTGCATAAACACTTCGTGGGGCTCTTCATTGTCCACTTCTGCACATACTAGGACACTAAACCTTCCCAGTCCTCTGTAGTAGGTGGGGAATGACAATGTAAACTTTTTTGCGACAAACACAATATAAGAACAGGACGCAAGTAGAGGATCTCTTCTTTCGACTCCTCCTGGACATAAAAAGCGCATCCCCGACATTGGTTTCCCCCATGACTGCAACTTGTCTTGAGTAAAAAGTTTATTTCGCATAGCTAACCAGACTAGGAATCCATGTCGAGGAATAATTTCCTTAGCCAACACAAGCTTCCACCAGGTAACCTCCTGTGAATGGCAACGAATAGAGTTCCAAAATTTTGTGACAGAATACTTCTGCATCTGCTTTCCCTACCACAACACATTAGGAGCAGTACCAGAGACAAATGGAGAAGCCAGATCCCTACATTTCAGAAACCTCTTCCAAATCCAGGTTCCAGCAGAAGTAATAGACATCTCTTAAATAGTCTTTTGCTTTAACATATACCTTGTGATCCATGTCGCCCACAATGGGCCCCCTGATGTTAATATATCCCAATTGTGTCTCAAAATGCAGGCCTTATTCTATAGACAGAAATTACGAATTCCAAACCCTCCTTCTTGTTTTGGTATTGGCAACTTGTCCCATGCCATTACCGCCCTCTTTCTGATATCATTCTCAGCAAAGTCTCACAGAAACTCATTACACAACCTCTCAACTTCTTTAATGATAAACTGTGGTAGCAAAAAATATTAAGCTAGTATTGAAGTGTGCTAGAAATCACAGTAGAGATAAG